AAGCTATTATTGCAGTATATACTTCAATACAAAAGTGTAGATTAAATAATATCGATATTACATTGCATTGTTGATTCTACAATGAGTCGGTAGTCTGTAATCGGTGAGTCAGAAGCGAGTCTGAAGGATAGTCGGAGAGATCATGATTGGTCGAAATCGATGAATCAGTAGAGTCAACATTCAGCTTCTAAGACTACAGATTACTGATTAATTGTAGAATCAGTATAAAATTAAAATAAATTATCTAAAATCTTTGATTTCTTGATATTTATTACATATGTTAATAAAATATTAAACGTCCACAGTAATGTGTGTGTGTGTGTGTGTGTGTGTGTGTGTGTGTGTGTGTGTGTGTGTGCGTGTGTAAATATAAATAAAATAACAAGATCCGTATCCAGGTGTTGCTGCGAGATCTCTTATCATTATGCCGATACAAATTGTCTTATCTTTATATGCTTACGGCACTTGTTTCATCACGCACGCGTGATACAGTATACATAATACGTTTGAATGAGAATCGCAAGAGTGCGTTCAGGCGATAACGTCAACGACGTAAAAGGTGCAAGAATACACCGCTAAGGATTTACAGTTCACTCTCGTATGATATCCAATTCGATTCGCTCCAAAAGGGAGCTTATCGAAGAGTGCTTATCGAGGACCAGCTCGAGCGTTAATTTGCAAAGATCGTGTACGGGATTGCGAAGGGAGAAATGTACTTCTCGAGGGTTCGTTTAATCTTTCCGTCCGTTCGCCTCGACGAAACGTCGGCGAACGTATCGTCAAAAATCGAGTGCCCTCCTTGAGGACAGTAGCGGCGTAACCCACCCACCACTTGTTCAACCTCCCTTACCCTCTGGTCGCTTTTTGTCAAGTGACAGTCGATAAAATTGGCTCAATCTGCTCGTAAACTTGCAAGATCGCGCACGATTCCCTGCTCTTTGCCGTCTCTCTTTTCATTCTCCTCCATCCGTTTCTCTTTTTCGCGGGCGATCGATATAAAGGCTCTCTCTCGAGAGGTTGTCTCTTATCAGCCGCGGTGCTTACCATAAGTGCGGCGGTATCGCGCATCGATCTGACCGCCAGTAGAAGTCCCGGATCGAGAGGTTCTCTTTCCATCCAGAGCAGCACTCTTGAAAGAAGTCCAACAGCCTCCTCGGCGGAAGGCTCATCCTCGCCGTCGTCTTCCTCAATGCCGTCATTCCCATCTTCTTCCTCGTCTCCTCCATTGCGCTCCGACCACCTATCCGTCTCTACCTCGATTTTAACTCGGCAGTGTTGTTGTTCCTCGTCCGGTTCTTTTTTCTTAACAAGACGCGCCAGCGCGCTCTCTTCGTCAAGGATCCAACTGCCAAGTTCGTCATCGGTGACCTCCAGTCCGATCTCCCTGGCGAGACTCTGCAATTCGACAAGCAGCATTCTATCCTCCTCTTGATCCACCGGATGTATTCTAGGCGGCAATATGGCGCCATTACATCCCGCCAGCGAATGATCCTCGCGATCGCGTGGCAGCGTCCAACTGCGAGCGAACGTCTCCGATCGAACACTGAGCCATGCGCGATGAAGATCCGCGAATGCTTCCTTTAGTGTGAATTTTTTTATATACGCGTCCAATCGGTTATCGCCCTCCTCCTCGGGCAAACCCAAAATCGAGGGATATTTATCGCAGTAAACGCCACAGCGTGCCCTCGATAATATACCGGTAGCCAGACGCACTCTCAATTCTCGGACCACCAGTCGCGTTTCCATGCAATCCTTGGGTACAATAAACAGCCGTACGAGACCGTCCGCGGCGACGCAGTCACCTTCTGGCGGCAAGTAATCGGCACTTTCGGCTACCAGCACCGCTCCGTCGGGATGCATCGCCATCGCTGTGACAGCAAATTCACGGTGGAACCACCATAGGAATAGATCGGAAGTCAAGGAACCCCTGCCACCGCCGGCATACACCACCGGTTGGCTCAACATGTTGACCTTGCGTAGACAACGTGGCCGCCAGTGGCGGCCGGCCACCAACAATCGTGTCCGATGGTGGCCCTCGTGATCCGCCGCCCCCACCACCCACACCCGTTCGCTGCTCCGCGTCGCGTCGTGACCTCCGACGGTGCCGCCACGCCGTTTACCCGGCAGATCCCGCCAATCCAAGTAGCAAACGTGGGCGAGGTAGATTCGACTACGGTCGTAATTCTCCAGGGCACTTCTCAGTCTTTCAAGCGCGGACGAGGAGGACGGGACGACGTGCGCAACACCGTGATCGCCGCCGTGGCTGCGCGGCGTCGTCGTCGCCGTCCGGCAAGACGTCGAGGACGTGGACACGGGGGAGGGAAATGGCGACGAGGAAGACACAGTGGTCGAAGAAGAGGTCGAAGAGGAGGTCGACACCGACGTCGTCGTCTCCGTAATCGTTCCATGAGTCGTCTCACCGTTTTCTCGCCTTGTCTCCGCGGCGTTTTGCCCCCGCTTCCCAATCCCGTCGTCGCTGTGCTCGGGAGTGCCTCTTTGCTCGCTTCCGGCCGCAGCCGGCTTGATCGCTAGCGGATCGCTCGTGACCGACGACGAGGTGGAGGAGCGCGCTGGTGACGAGGTGCTCGACAGTGGGGAGCTCGAACGGCGCGAGGACGCGCAAGAAGACGGCGAGGAGAGCGCCGGCGGCGACGACAACGATGTCGAGGAGCATGAGGTGCCAGCGGTGGCTTTCTCGGTGTCTCTCCCCGGTGGTCGATGCTTCCTCCCCGCGGCGTGTCTCTCCCGTCGTCGTTGCCTTTCCGGATAACGATGCACCGAGGGGGTACAGTTTTCACGGGCTGGCTCGGAGCTGCTCTCCAGGGACTGGCGCATGCGCCCGGTCCACTGCGATCGACCCTCGTTGCACGCCGTTGTTACCGCGGGCTTGTCCATTCTCGTTGCCGCGACTACCATTCCTTCGCTTGACGTTACTACCGCCGTCGACGTTGTCGCCGTAAATATTCCCGTTGCCATCGTCGTCATCTCCGTCAACGTCGTTGTCGACGTCGCCGCCATTGCCAGACTCGTTCCCTTGCTCTCTACGAGAGAATTTCCCAGAGAGACGTGCTGCTGCTGCTGCTGAGCGCGCACTTGGCGCCCCTTGGTGGCCACTTTGCTGACACGCGCGTACTTGCCGCCGCGAGACGGCATCGCACGAATCCAAGCGCATTCGCGGTCGCCACAAAGTCACACGAATACATACGCGTCTTTCTCGTCTTTTGTCAGCGTCGAAACGCAAACCGCCGACTCCGCCGACTTGTACCGCGTATCCGCGGACGTACGTCACCCGACGGACGTGGTGAACGGCGAACTCGCGGTTGACCTCTGGGAGCCCGCGCTCATCGTGCGAGAGCGCGCGCGCGCGCGCACCCGCGCGCGATCCGCTCATCTACGGCGCGCCGCGCCGACATCGCCTACAACCGAGCGATGACTGAGCGAGCGGCCGCGACGCGACCGTCAAAGGCCGGAGCGGGAACTAGAAGGCTTTGATGTACCGCCGCCCCGGCGCGCACAAAGCGAAAGCGGCCCCGACTCGTTGGTTGGCATGCGGGGGAGGGGACGAGGCGGCGGGGGAGCGAGGGAAGTCGAAGCGAGATAACAGGAACGCGCGGCCGAGTACGAGTGGTGGTGGTGGTGGTGGTGGTGGTGGTGGTGATGGTGGTGGCGGTGGCGGTGGTGGCGGCGACGACGACGACAACGACGGCGGCGGCGGAAACGAGACAGAGGGGGCACAACGAGATGAGGGACACGTACAGTCGTCTCCTCATTTGAGCGTCCACGCGTATCTGTTCGCTTTGCCTGCGTGAGAGAGGCCTCTCCACGTTCGCATCATCACCGATGCGCTAGTTCGAGACTGCACCGCCTCGGTACTCGACGGCGATAAGATAAGCAAATTGTTTGTCTCCGATACCAACTGATATCCGTCAGACGCACAAATTTCTGTAAGAGCATACTGTTTTGTACCAGTACAGTTAAGGCATGATGCATTTTGTCGATCTTGCTGATATATGGCCTCCAAAGCCTTATTTATCTCTAGCATTTCAAAATCACTCTCAATATTTTTCTATTTCAGCCCACTATAAGTGCTTCCCATTTAGTCACGCACAAGTCGGTCGCACAACTGTCGATCGTTTTATCTCGTCGTTACTCACTGAATGTCATGAAAGATGGGATGATACGCTTGTGTCGACTTGTGTCACCAAATGGAAAGCACTCTATGTTGGGCAACGATCAAAGATTGTAGAAACAACGATGTAATGTCTACTAATGTTACAATTGGTGAGTCTGAAGAAATATACAGTCGCGAACCGTGACAATTAGCGAGCACGTACTAAATGTCCCGGCGTAAATCTGAGAAGCCATATGTACATCAACGACAACCAGCTGCTGAAGATCTTGGGAGCGCGAGATCTGAATACGGGCCAAAGTCAACTAAATATACCGATCCATTTGGCCGCATAATGGCGCCCGACGTGTTTGGAGAACGTTTCTGCCACGGCTCGCGCGAAACAAGTTAGTCCACAAAGAGACGCAGATTTGTTTCTGCGCTCCAGAGTTAAAAGCGCGGCCTTTTCACTGTGTGTTTGTTCAGGCTGTTTATTGCGTGCGCTAAACGTAGATCGTTGACATCCGATCCCCATGGCACTGTAATCAGAACGATCCCAATCGGAAAAACAACGCTTCCGGTGAATTATACTCACGATTAATCAAACCCGTTTCCCGTCTACCGTCGCATCCGCGTGACTAATTTTATACAGACAAAGCGAAAATAAACTTTGTATCTTGAATACTTGTACGCGTACAGGTAATGCGTAGTTATTGTTAACATGTGTGTTGAATTATCACACTCGTACATTTTATTAACATCGAATGCAACTTAAAAATATATAATCAATATTCGTTTGTCGAAATGAATAAAGTGAAAGATATAATTATGATAAAAATTGCATAAAATCCAAATATTTCTCGGTTAAAAACTACGTCTCGGAGAGAGAGAATTAATCAATTATTTATTTTATGCCCTAAGATTATGACTCTTGAAAGGCATAATATATACATAATACAGTTGTAACACAGCTTGATGATTAGATGCAGCAAAAGTAGTTTAGAGCAAGCAAAACGAAAGAAAGTAAATGAATAAGAGTGAGTACTAAAGATTATAATACTTGATATACATAGAATCGCAACAAGAGAATAATGATAAATATAGAAATGTAACAAAAGTAGAGGAAAAATTAAAAAATCTTAATACACAATAAATAATTATGAAATACTGAGTTAAAAAATGTCAGACAGAGAGAGAGAGAGAGAGAGAGCGAACGTTTATTATCTTTCTAGGGCTCTGCCTCTTCAGGACAAACAAATTGAAGCAAAAATAATATAAAGAACAGAGAGAATTTACGAAAATGAAAGAAAATTGCAAAGAAAAACAAAACATGGAAACACGTATACATAAACAAATACAATGAATTTTGCGAATATGAAAAATAAAAAATAAAATACAAAGTACAAAGTATAGGTATCATAGGTAAACGGTACGAAACGAGTAATAGCTAAGTTTTAGAGAGATAGATAGATAGAGGAGAAGGGGGAGGGGGCAAGGGTGAGAGAAAATGTGTGGGAGGAAAGAGGAGAGAAAGAGAGCGAGGCGCAACGCTGATTGTGAGATTAATATTACAAATCGGATTTAGCCTTGGGCACTGGTCGCGCGCATGATTATCGGCGTGTCGGCATTTCATAAACGCGTCCACATCAAACGCAGCGGGTCGGTCGATCGCGATAATATTTGTCACGTAGTTGCGGTACGTGGCGGCAGGCAGGCGTGTGCACCGCGCGGCTGTACGGTAATCGATCGGCTATGCTAGCAGCCAGGTAGGTAGGTAGGTAGGTACTATGCGTGATTACTCTCTCAGGTACGTCGCGCGCTATCTACATGCCCCCGGACTTTCGAGGCGTAGTACGAGAGAATAAGCAACAACGCGGTTTCATCCACTTACTTGTCGCGCATTATTGCAATTTGTGATTTCGAGAGAATATCAAACGAGGGAGTAGATCGGAAAGATGATGTCATCTACGTTCCGAAATTAATTGACATACAATGTACTACGTCAATTTCAACGCGAAATCGATACGTATTAGTAGCTGTAGAAATATAAATAATCACGATAACCGTGATCTTTTTACTTTAGAATCTACCTTTGAGCCGAGATTTTAATCGTGAAATTTAAATTGTTGATGGAACTTTGTTTTTTTTTTTTTTTTGTATTTTCTTTCAGTTCTCATTACCGATACGATCAATCATTTTATTTGCTTCAATCGTTTGATAAAGCGAGGAAGCTCGAAAGCTCGAATTTACACAAAGGACATATATTCGTTTACTTAACGTTTTACAACTACACATACGTATGCTTTTTTATCGCGATTGTGCCGGAGCGAGTTTGATAGTTGGACAATCTCGCGTATCAATTACCGCTCAGGGGCTTTGTTCTCGAAAAATATCGTGTACGAAAATACTAGAGGAATTCATAACATACGTAACGTGTACTACAATATTTTCGTATGCGATACTTTTCGAGGATATGGTCCCAGAATAGATACCAATCGCGCTTCAAAGACATGGCCAATATACGCCAACTTTACGTATATTCGCTAAATATTGACCTACATTTACACGGGTAATTATGCACGTCATGTGATGTGAGTGTGTAATATTTGCTAATATTGGCATACATTAGCCATGTCATTTAGAGACGCCTTTACTCACAATACGAGAACAACGAGTCTGTCTTCGTGTACATGTAGCTTCTAATTGGATTATCTGTTCCGGAGTATCACCGTTACCGATAAAACGCATTTCCATGTAACGCCAGCAACCCAGACGGAACATATTTTAATGATAGCCATAGCGAGAGAGACCACTGTATACCGTAAGGCATACGTATTTATCGAATCTTTTTCTTGCGGCATCCTTTGTGACCGCGACCGAACGTAAATTCGATTCTCTGCTACCATTTTATTTCTAAAACTTCGTAGACCACGTTCGAAATATGCATTGCCAATACTGAAAATCTATAGTATACGTGACATAAACCACATATATGTTCAACACTGGTAATATATATCTGAAGCCTTAATCAATCGATCATTTTCGTATAATTGAATCATCATGCAACAAATAATTTCAAATTATAATATAAAAAATTAAAAAATAAATAGAATTTCTATGAATACTTTGTATAAAATCAAAAGCTCTACATTTGTATGAAATTTATATGTATGTACATCAAAGCTTTTAGATGGTCTCTAAATTGTCTATAAAATTCAACGCATATTTTCACTCATTAATTAATCATTGCGTATATCATGTTGCGGAAAATAATATGCTTATCATATTACGTGTCCAATTAATCGTGAATGATTACGAAAGATGTATTGATATTTACGACTAGAGCACCGATCGCGAATCAACCGTTTGTCTCTTCTCTTCTCTTCTCTTCTCCGAATCGCCTTCGTCAAAATACGCGCAACGAAAACTGATACCTTGCGACTACCGAGAACCGGATACCGGCAGGATCCGACGCGAAACGCGGGTATTATCGATCGCGACTCTCTCGCAGGACGAGCTGCGCGGATATAATCGAATTACCTGGCGAATTTGCGAGGAGGGCGGCCGGAGACCGATTCCAAGTTTCGTATGTTCTCTCTCTTGGTTGCAAGAGGCAAATCGTCGAGAGCAGCCTCTCGTTTCTCTTCCACGTCCGCGGAGAGAGAAAGCAAGATTTTACCATCGATTTAACCCCCTTCGACCTGCTACCCTCTTCTCTCCCTCTTTCGTATGCAACAACACGGCCATACGAGTCCTCCACGCGGAAGATCGAATCAGACCCATCTCTTCTTCCCGCCTTTAGTACAGCGGCAATTCGATTCACCTACAGTCACGAAAAAGTGTCAGACAAGAGCGGAACTCTCCCT